TGCGTTGCTTCCTCCGTGGAAGCACACACTTTTGCTGCCGACTTGACTTGACACTCAACGGATGAAACTGTGTCGTGGTTTTTTGGTGTTTCTTGTTCAGGCAAAGATTTCGTTTGATGGCTCACATCCGAACACATGTCCACCGAACGGCAAAGAGATATGTGATCAGGTAGGGGGCAGGAGACTTCCATGCACAACGTCTGCATGCACCTCACTGCATGCACAACGTCTGCATGCACTTCTCTGCACCTGTAAACCTGGTGTGTGTGTGTTCATTTGACAGCAACTTGGCAGAGAGTCAAATCACGCTCTGTTCTGGTACTCTCTGGCTTCTGTGAATACTAAATACACGTGTACTTTTCAAGGTATTATTACTATTAATTAATAAAAACGTAATTATTGTATGTCACGTGAGGGTTGCCTGTACTACAGCCAATGAGCGCTCTTGCTCAGCGGTCTGTATTTCTCGGTATTGCCCGGCAAGTTATTGCCCGCTCAGTTACATGTACGCGCATGCAGACTGTCATTCTTGTACTTTGTGGTTCGTGATCAGATCAAGTAAGTTTCTACTGTTCGGAGTTTCAAATTTGAAACACAAAACAGCAACTAACTTGATCTGACTACAAACTACAAAGCACGAGAATGACAGACCACACACGCGCGCATGTAACTGAGCGGACAATAACTTACTTGTTCCAGCCACCTGAACCAGCCGCCTCAGCAGGTGAATGCAGCCTTGACATCGATATCGATGCATTGGTGAGCAGCCGACGAACTACTTGACGAACTTAACGCTTTCGAGACGAAGTCGTAGAGCCCATCCCAGTTTCAGTTCCTACACGCAGTGCTCAATCACAAACAACAACACCATCGATATCGTAAAGAAATAGAGAATTTCAAAACCACAAACGACGTTTACCACTTAACAAGTGTGTCGGGATACTGAGAAAGTCGGAAAGGTTTCTCTCCATTTTCTGGAATGTTTGAGTCAAGCATGCAATAAATGATTTACTGCGCCTCGTACTCACTCGTACGCGGGCAATACCGGCTTGATACATGACCTCACGGCTGACGCCGTTCGGACATGTATCAGCCGGTACTGCCCTTGTACTCGCTTGTCCTCGGGCTGTAAATCATACTTATCGAACAATTAAAAAACCGTCCTCGTGCAAAAAGGTGTGGGTGGCCAAGAGTGCTGGCGGAATTTTACCTTTTGATTTCCCATACACGTGTTTCCCATACACGTGTTTCTCCGTATACTGTAGGGTTCAGTACTGCCAGTCGCCGAAGAACTGTGGGGTCAGCCTCCTAGCCTAGACCAAAGTACTGGGGGTCAGCCTCCTAGCCTAGACCGAAGAACTGTGGGGTCAGCCTCCTAGCCTAGACCAAAGAACTGTGGGGTCAGCCTCCTAGCCTAGACCAAAGAACTGTGGGGTCAGCCTCCTAGCCTAGACCAAAGAACTGGGGGTCAGCCTCCTAGCCTAGACCAAAGAACTGTGGGGTCAGCCTCCTAGCCTAGACCAAAGAACTGTGGGGTCAGCCTCCTAGCCTAGACCGAAGAACTGTGGGGTCAGCCTCCTAGCCTAGACCAAAGAACTGTGGGGTCAGCCTCCTAGCCTAGACCAAAGAACTGAGGGGTCAGCCTCCTAGCCTAGACCAAAGAACTGTGGGGTCAGCCTCCTAGCCTAGACCAAAGAACTGGGGGTCAGCCTCCTAGCCTAGACCAAAGAACTGTGGGGTCAGCCTCCTAGCCTAGACCAAAGAACTGGGGGTCAGCCTCCTAGCCTAGACCAAAGAACTGGGGATCAGCCTCCTTGCAGTATCTGCGCTGCTGCTTTTGTTGCTACCTGCGCTTTGCAGTGGATTGGGTTGGGATGGGGCTGTGTCTGGCTTGTCAGTTGGTGGGCAGCCAGGCTGAGCTGACCCTGGTGCCGTCTTGTGAGTGTCGGATGTGTGGAAGGTCCACCTCCTGCAGTAAAGTGGCCTTGGCCAGAAGTTGGCAGCCAGCAGGATATGCAGGGAGCTGGCATCCACAAACGCTCTTGCAGACATGCAGCCGCTAGCATTGACATGCATGCTACAGGTGTGGAGCACTACTGGTGTGTCGGAGTTGACGGCCCTGCTACGCAAATCAACAAATTCGCGGAACCGGTCTTCAGTTGTCTCCCTGCTGAGGTTACCAACATACACGACAGCTCTCTTCGCTCTGTGGGGCTCATCTGCAATGAGTTTCCATGCATCGTCGGAGATGGGCTGCAACACCTTTGTGCTCTTGTTGCGCTTTCGTCTCCGTGGCTGCTGAAAACCGTCATCCACGTCACTTTCACTCACGCTATCCACATTGTGGCCAGGACTGGCTGCTGGGGTCAGTACGGGTACGGTCACGGTTCCCAGTACGTCCTGGCTGGCATGGCTGAGGAGCTTTCGCCGTGGCAATGGCGGATTCTTTGAGAGAAGCTACCTCCTCCTTCAGCTCAGATACTTGTCTGGATAGCTCATCGAACCTATTGTTCAGGCGATCCTCGCGATCGGCGGCCTCGGAGACGAGTGTGGCCAGACTTTTTAGCACTGCTGATACATCCGACTCGATACTAGGCAGGGAGCCCAACATTTTCGTCTGAGATTCAGTCAAGGCTGATACACGAGAGTTAGTTCTCGTGGTAGCTCCGGGCATGGCAAGTTTCCCACACTACTCTACTTCTAATACTATTCCTAATCACTGATCTAGTCTACTTCCAGTCCGGCCTGATGCCGGCTGGGCTGCAAAAAAAGGGAAGCCCGAAAAACGCGTGCCTCACTTTTCGTGTGTGTGTGTGTTCGTGTGTGTGTGTGTTCGTGTGTGTGTGTGTGTTCGTGTGTGTGTTCGTGTGTGTTTATGTGTGTGTGGGGGGGGGGGGGGGAACTGCAGTTGGATCCCGGGATGGATACCCTGATGCCGTCAATCCTTTTTCTGCACCTTGTTCTCACCTACTTACTGAGGTGTCGTGAGCCCATAAGTGTGATCATTTCCAAGTCCATCCAGAGTTTGGGAATTTCAGGGGGCATCGGCCGTTGGGCGGTTCAATATCCAATTGAGTCCTCTTTCCAAGATTCCTTTTGTACCTCTCTCCCCTCTCCTGGGGAGACCCACATGACCAGTTTCGGGCATTGAGCAAGTACAGTACAGCATGTGTGTAGATATGTGTGTGTGTGTAGATGTGTGTGTGTGTGTGTGTGTGTGCGTGCGTGCGTGCGTGCGTGCGTGCGTGCGTGCGTGCGTGCGTGTGTGCGTGTGTGTGTGTGTGTGTAGATATGTGTGTAGATATGTGTGTGTGTGTGTAGATATGTGTGTAGATATGTGTGTGTGTGTAGATATGTGTGTGTGTGTGTGTGTGTGTGTGTGTGTGTGTGTGTGTGTGTGTGTGTGTGTGTGTGTGTGTGTGTGTGTGTGTGTGTGTGTGTGTGTGTGTGTGTGTGTGTGTGTGTGTAGATATGTGTAGTGATTGTGTACTGTGTACTATGTTCATCACAGGAAGTATGCAATGAAGATGTGTACATCACAACCCTCAGTGACTGTGTACAGACATACCATGCCATGACGTTTGGGGAAATTCCTTTCAATGACCTACCAAAAATGTAAGTGTTGTTGTTGTTGTTTTTGTGGTCGTCGTCGTTGTGTCGTCATTGTCATCGCCACCGTCGACATCATCGTCCCGGTCATAGTTGATTTGTTGTTGTTCTCACTGTGCCATTTTTGTTGTGGTTTGTGCTCTGCTACTGTGATTATTTCAGAGACCAGTTGTTCGTTCGCTTGCTCAGTTTCAACAAGAACAACACGTTGAGGCTAACAACTGATGCATCTGCGCTACGACTGGTGAGTACACTGGCTACTACGCCTAATTCTAGCCGGTCATGCGTTTGTGTCTTTTCCATATCTGCCTACAGTCGACTCCTGATATAACGAACACCGTTGTGCAGGAGAATTAGTTCTTTACAGGCGAAGTTCGTTGTAACAGAAATGCGCTTACACTGTGGGCTCAAACTGGGGGGACATGGGCAACGGTTCGCTATAATTATCATGAAATTCGCTATATGGGAGTTCGTTATAAGTGGAGTCGACTGTATTTGAGTGTGATTGCTTTGGTGTTGGATCTTTGGCCACTGTCTTGCCTTTCATGCTGCTTACATACTGGTTACACTTTCAGGTCTGGCAGTGTACTTGCCCAGATCATCCTTGTTATGAGCTGTCCACAGGCAGACAGCTAAGTTTGATAACATTTCTGTGAGCTGTCCACAAGGAAACAGCTGAGTTTGATAACATTGCTATTAGCTGTCCACAGGCTGCAAGCTGAGTTTGGTCAGTAGAATGGAACTACTGGTGCAATCAGTTACCATCAGTGGTGCGTTTGTGTGCCTGTCTGCCTGCATGCGTACATGTGTGTGTGTGTGTAAAAAAAATGAAAAAATGAAAAAAATGAAAAATAGGGATTCACTGGCCAGAAAAAGCCACTTCAATCAGCTGTGTGGTGGATACCAGGCTAAAATTAATGGCGGTCAATTCATCAGCCTTGCAAGCTGTTGAATGGTGTAATCCCAGCAGAAGTTGCTATGTCTAACATAGCTGTTCGCTATCATCGCTTCTGCGATGGGCAGGTCTGAGGTCTGAGGTGTTTGCGTGCGTACGTGTGTCTGTATTTGCATGCGTTATAATTATGTTGTGTGCAGAATCGCAGTAGACCGCTAGTTGGTTATCCTGGCAAGAACATCAAGCTGCGCGGCTTGGAAGTGAAAGACCAAGCCAATGCACGTACTGTGGCCTCCGTATATATCACTGTACTCAACAAAACGGTAAGCAGCAACGACTGATTCTGAGTTTCTGATGGCTAATAGCTATTGGACTACTGACTATTGGCTATTGGCTATTGGCTACGGGCTATTGGGTACTAGTATTGGGTACAGGCTATTGGGTACTAGTATTGGGTACGGGCTATTGGGTACAGGCTATTGGGTACGGGCTATTGGGTACAGGCTATTGGGTACTAGTATTGGGTACGGGCTATTGGGTAGAGGAGACGGCTTCAAATACTGTAAAAGCAGAAATTTTCGGTGGTGTAATATTTTCGGTATTCTCCAAAATCGGCGGTTCGGCGGAGGGAAATTTTCGGTAAACCCGCGTTCCAGGTAAGTGCACTAGTACTATACCGGCATTTTCGGTGCGTTTTATTTTCGGTAAAAATTTCGGCACCGAAGTTACCGAAAATAAAACACCACCGAAAATTTCTGCTTTTACAGTAGGACCGGTTTGACAGCAAAGTTGTGTAGACCCAAACTCGTCATCAGCGTGGACTGTTCACTCGAAATATGTTTGTGGAAGGAAGCTGGCATGTTGAAGTTTGCTCTGAGGGCAGAGTCGATCAAACTGAGCCACTCCTTTGTGTTGGCCCGTTGCCTCCAAGTTGCCCGATTTTTTGTTTCAAATTTTGGTGTGACAAAGGTGGCTCCAAACAGGAACAGTTTTGGAGTCCAGGTCAAGTTCACACTGAGTTCTGAAATTAGGTAATTGATATCGCCCCACAACGGCCAGTACAGAGAAACAATAAGCCTTGTGTGTGCTTCCATTAGTTTTCATTGGTATACGGTGCTGTTTTGTTTTCTCTGTTTCTTCTTCGTTCGTGATTTATCATCTGTGTATGCTGGTTCTTTTTCCAGTTTCTCTTTTGTTCACCTCCCATTCGCTTCTCATTCTACCTAAGTGTACCCTTCCCCTAGTCCTCTCCTCTCATGTCCTCCCTTTGACCCTGTAAATGCTCTTGTGTTTTCAATTTCATGTAGTCTGTCCGCCGTTCCATTTCTCCTTCGTTGAATTTTTTGTTTTTTTGTTTTTTTGTTTGTTATCGTTTAGCTTCCTTTTTGCTTGTAGGAATACTGTTCTTGTTTTGTTTCCCCACAATTTGTTTCTCTCTGTATGTTTTCGTCATGAGGCGTTGGCATAATCAGTTTGGCACATGCGAACCTGGGCAACCTCCATCCAATGGGGGCCTCAGCAACGCGCCCGTGCATATAATAATAATAATAATACGGTGCTTTATTGGCGAGAGGCAAGCCTCTGTCTACCTGCGACAAGAAGTTGATTTTTCGAAAGATGTTGAGCAGTGCGAAGCAACACGTCAAAAACTCACCTGCTTGGTATGGCGCTTCTGGTCATCACAGAGCCATGAACTTTTGGCTCGGAGTAAACACACATCGTAGTCTCACTTTGACGTCTATTTTCTGATCAAAATACCAAGAGAGAAAGTGAATATTGAGCCCGGTCCTGTTTTCGACCTGTGTCCTATTTGAAACAGTCTGCTCTACTGGCTATTGACGATTGGGTGGTGGCTATTGGCTAGTGGGTACAGTCAGACCTCGCTTAACCGCACACATCCGTTTTCCACAAAATATCCGGATAGGCGCGGGAACCGGATAATCGAACACCAGTTATGTTGGATGCATCATGTATGCTGTAAATCTGTAACCAGCTATTTTCTTCTGGATGGTGAGGGATCCGGATAAAAGAGGACCGGATAAAAGAGGACCGGATAAGCCAGGTCTGACTGTATTAGCTTTTGGCTAGGGTGGTGGCTATTGGGTGTTGGCTAGTGGCTGGTGGCTGGTGGCTGGTGGGTAGTGGCTGATGGCTCGTGGCTGGTGGCTAGTGGCTAGTGGATAGGGGGTGGTGGCTGTTAGGTGGTGGCTGGTGGTTGGTGGGTAGTGGCTGATGGCTCGTGGCTGGTGGCTAGTGGCTAGTGGATAGGGGGTGGTGGCTGTTAGGTGGTGGCTGGTGGTTGGTGGGTAGTGGCTGATGGCTCGTGGCTGGTGGCTAGTGGCTAGTGGATAGGGGGTGGTGGCTGTTAGGTGGTGGCTGGTGGTTGGTGGGTAGTGGCTGATGGCTCGTGGCTGGTGGCTAGTGGCTAGTGGATAGGGGGTGGTGGCTGTTAGGTGGTGGCTGGTGGTTGGTGGGTAGTGGCTGATGGCTCGTGGCTGGTGGCTAGTGGCTAGTGGATAGGGGGTGGTGGCTGTTAGGTGGTGGCTGGTGGTTGGTGGGTAGTCGCTGATGGCTCGTGGCTGGTGGCTAGTGGCTAGTGGATAGGGGGTGGTGGCTGTTAGGTGGTGGCTGGTGGTTGGTGGGTAGTGGCTGATGGCTCGTGGCTGGTGGCTAGTGGCTAGTGGATAGGGGGTGGTGGCTGTTAGGTGGTGGCTGGTGGTTGGTGGGTAGTCGCTGATGGCTCGTGGCTGGTGGCTAGTGGCTAGTGGATAGGGGGTGGTGGCTGTTAGGTGGTGGCTGGTGGTTGGTGGGTAGTGGCTGATGGCTCGTGGCTGGTGGCTAGTGGCTAGTGGATAGGGGGTGGTGGCTGTTAGGTGGTGGCTGGTGGTTGGTGCAGGCAGGCACAGTGGTCAGGTCTAAGACCATGATTGAGAAATGAGAGGTACCAGGTTCAAGTCCTGATTGGAAGCGGAAGGATTTTTCCAACCGTGCTGCAACCTACAGTTAATTGGGAACTCGTGGCCTGGCATGAGTAAAACATGGATGTAGCAAATGGAATTTAGGCCTTTGGCCTCTGGTTGGTGGATCTGATCTATCCTCCCCCACTGTCTAGGAGCCGCATCTGACGCCTGATCATGGGGTGGTGGCGTCCCACGGAATCGGAAAGGTGGTTCTTGACCAGGGAGTTGTACGACTCCTTGTTCTTGACCTGCCCAGTACGCGAACCCGTCGATTTTTTTTTTTTTTGGTGGTTGATGGGTAGTGGCTGATGGCTGGTGGCTGGTGGCTAGTGGATAGGGGGTGGTGGCTATTAGGTGGTGGTTGTGGCTGGTGGGTAGTCGCTGATGGCTGGTGGCTAGTGGCTAGTGGATAGGGGGTGGTGGCTATTAGGTGGTGGCTGGTGGTTGGTGGGTAGTGGCTGATGGCTCGTTGCTGGTGGCTAGTGGCGAGTGGATAGGGGGTGGTGGCTATTAGGTGGTGGCTGGTGGCTGGTGGGTAGTGGCTGATGGCTCGTGGCTGGAGGCTAGTGGATAGGGGGTGGTGGCTATTAGGTGGTGGCTGGTGGGTAGTGGCTGATGGCTCGTGGCTGGTGGCTAGTGGATAGGGGGTGGTGGTTGGTGGGTAGTGGCTGATGGCCAGTGGCTAGTGGATGGTGGATGGTGGATGGTGGATGGTGGATGGTGGATGGTGGATGGTGGCTGGTGGCTAGTTTGCAGTGGGGAGGGAGTAGTAGGATCTGGACATATGTCGGCCTGGAAAGACGGGTTTGAATGGATGAAGGCATACGCACACATGTACGTTCTTGCCTGTACAGTTGTACAGTTGTACAGTTGTGGCATGTGAAATCCTGCAGTTGTTGCAGGGGACTACACTACTTACATACAATGTGTGTTAGGCGGTGTTTACATGAGGCGTTTCAACCCGGGTCGAGTTCGACCCGGGTCAGTTTTCAACCCGCCATGTGCATAAAATGAATGGCGCGTTTACATGACGCATTGCGCTTGACCCGGGTTGAAATTTCGCCCCGGGTTGATTTCAACCCTCCCCCCAAGGGGAGGGTTGAAATCAACCCGGGTCAAGAAAATCGTACAAACGTACTTCTGTGCGTATCTCGCGCCAGGTTTGAACGGCACTGCAGAAGTGCAGATGCAAATTTCGCGCGAACGGATTCACGTGACCATACAGGACTGTAGAAGTGGACTTTTGGCGGCATATCAGTATTTGACCCGGGTCAACTGACTTCATGTAAACGCTCACCTCTTTTGTCTATCGTACAGACTTTCAACCCGGGCTGAACTCGACCCGGGTTGAAATTTCTCATGTAAACACAGCCTTACACTCCCAAGCTTGGCTTGGTTGAGTACTCTTTCTATTTAGTGTTCAAGATATCTGCCATTGTGCAAAGCGCGCTGTTTCTTGCACTTAGAGCACTCTGACTTGATGCTTTGAGCCGGTTCAAAAAGCCGGTTCAAAAAGCCGGTTCAAAAAGCCGGTTCAAAAAGCCGGTTCAAAAAGCCGGTTCAAAAAGCCGGTTCAAAAAGCCGGTTCAAAAAGCCGGTTCAAAAAGCCGGTTCAAAAAGCCGGTTCAAAAAGCCGGTTCAAAAAGCCGGTTTGTTGTTCACTAGACTAGATTGGGATCGGATTGGCCAGTCACCGACTGAGCTCCGCTGACGAGATTTTAATCAAGGTTGAAACAGCCAATTGTCCGGAGATTGTGTAATGTATGTGCTACATAGTACATACTACTTGTATCAGTCTATGTTATAGTTCAGTAGGTATCCTGGCACTTGTATCAGTCTAAGTTACACTTCAGTAGGTATCCTGGTACTTGTATCAGTCTATGTTATAGGTATCCTGGTACTTGTACGATAATTACACAATGTGTAGCACTCAAGCTGCACCTGAAATTTTCAACCGTGCTCCCGAATATGAATGGGTGTTGAATGTTCATACTCTCCCGAATATGAATGGGTGTTGGATGTTTAAAATACTCCTTTAAAACCTACGTTGTGGCCTATCGGCCTGTTTGGGATGTATAGGGCTGATTGTGACCCATCGGCCTATTTGGGATGCACCGGGCTTTGTTCTACACGTTCTGGTCAGCACGTTGCTTAGTTGTTGAAATAATTTGTGGTGCTGTCCTCTGTGGCAAGTGTTGGATTCCACTTTCCACAGCTGTATACTGACACTGTGGCAAGTGTTGGATTCCACTTTCCACAGCTGCATACTGACACTGTGGCAAGTGTTGGATTCCACTTTCCACAGCTGTATACTGTAAATATACAAAATTTCGGCGCTGCAAAATTTCGGCACTTCACGATTTTTGACATTTCGGCGGCGGCGATTTATTTTCGGCGTGGGGTAGAGGGCATGGTATACAGATAGTGCGACAGATGCTGTGAAAAATTTCATCGGCGTTTTAATTTAGGCGTTTTGGGTCGGTGCCGAATATAGCCGAAATAAATAGCTGCCGAAAATTTGTATATTTACAGTACTGACACTGTGACAAGTGTTGGATTCCACTTTCCACAGCTGTATACTGACACTATGGAAAAGCAGTGGTGGGAATTTTACTCTCCACACCTGTAGTTCTCTGCCACTGTTGCTTGTGGCTGGGTAAGATGCTCAGCTTTGTCTTCTTATGGATCCTTCTTGTTCTTACCTACATGTACTTGCCAACTCTTTAATACATGACCTATACTATTGCTCTTGTCTTTTTGTCCCTGTGCATTGCTATAGCTACGTCAGTACATTACTATCACACCCGAGTTGGTATTGGTGCAGAAAGCCGGTGCTGAATCACCCACAATACGTATCGAGATCGACAAGACTTACTACAACAGCAACCTGCTGCAAGCGCAAGATTACATCACTGTTATGCTGCGCTTTACCTTGGTGCATAGCAGTTTTACTGTGAGTTTAACTTGGTACATAGCAGTTTTACTGTGAGTTTAACTTGGTGCATAGCAGTTTTACTGTGAGTTTAACTTGGTGCATAGCAGTTTTACTGTGAGTTTAACTTGGTACATAGCAGTTTTACTGTGAGTTTAACTTGGTGCATAGCAGTTTTACTGTGAGTTTAACTTGGTACATAGCAGTTTTACTGTGAGTTTAACTTGGTGCATAGCAGTTTTACTGTGAGTTTAACTTGGTGCATAGCAGTTTTACTGTGAGTTTACCTTGGTACATAGCAGTTTTACTGTGAGTTTAACTTGGTACATAGCAGTTTTACTGTGAGTTTAACTTGGTGCATAGCAGTTTTACTGTGAGTTTAACTTGGTGCATAGCAGTTTTACTGTGAGTTTAACTTCAGGGCTCACAGTCGGTATGCAGGATCGACAAAAGCGTCGTGCGAGGGCGGGTTTGGTGCACGTGACCCCACGAGAGCACAGATCGTGTACATCCTGTAGTTCCTACGCATCCCAACAGAACAAAGAAGAGAAAGATCCTTGGCTTGAGTAGCCTGTTCTTGTCTTGTAGAGCCGATGTTCGCGATATTTTGGTCGGACCTGTCCTTTCCTCGCTTCTCTTGGCATGCAGTGTCAAACCATTCTCGTTTCCGTTCGTCTCGATCTTGTGCTTTTACGATCGTGCATACTCCAGTGGAAATAGTTTGCTTTATTATTTTCACTGGGAATTGCACTGCAACACTGAACAGTTACTGCCAGCCCTCGGCAACGACTTGCCTTTCACTGTGCCTTGTAGAATTGGTCCACCGAAGGAGAAGGTGAAAGGCAACCTGTGCTAGTCCCAGGAAATTCATGTCATGTAGCCGCTGTTCGACCAAATGCTGATGCTACAATGAGCGATCGCGATGTTCCACAGGTAAGAAGACAAACAAACGAGTCAGAGCTCGCCAGGCAGGTAACGCCGAGAACATACCACACGGAGCTGCTGATCGGATGGAGGCGAACGGGACCAGCAAATCCGCCAGGCGTTAGTTGAGGGCCACTAAAGGCCAGGTTTCCAGAGGTACCAGTTCCTCCATGATGGCGAAATGCGCTGCCACAAGAACTCCAGCGAGAACGAAAGCACAGCAACCAACTCCGCGTGCGAACTGAGGAGAGAACATTGAAAAATCTGTGCGCAATGATTTTCTGTTGGACGGCGCGCGTTGCTGTTCCGCTGCATGCATGCGTTTTTCTTGTTGTTTGATCTGGTGCTGCTTTTGCACTTTTGGCGTTCTGCGCGCTGAGTGGCACTCACTCAAAAATGTCCACTACATCTCATTCTTGGCGGATTTTGATCATCTATGGCTTATTTTTTTCAGCGTGGAATTCTGCAGGCATTTACCGATCACTTTTCCGATTGATGTGCCGAAATCGAAGCCAAAACGACCAGACTTTGGCTAATCCGTGCCGGAAAACTGGAGGGAAAATGGTGGAACGCTGCGGTAGATCACTGAGTTTGGGGGTTTTGAATCAGCACAGCGAATCCCAGCTTCGTGGACATCAGGGCCGATGTAGTGGACTAGATCAAAGATTTGAGAATAGAGGAGAATAGAGGCCTGTGATTGGTCAGTTGTCATCACGTGACATCCGCGCAAAGCCGTGCGCGACTCCACGCAAAGCCGTGCGCGACTCCACGCTTTTGTATTGGACTGTGAGCCCTGAACTTGGTGCATAGCAGTTTTACTGTGAGTTTAACTTGGTGCATAGCAGTTTTACTGTGAGTTTAACTTGGTGCATAGCAGTTTTACTGTGAGTTTAACTTGGTGCATAGCAGTTTTACTGTGAGTTTAACTTGGTGCATAGCAGTTTTACTGTGAGTTTAACTTGGTGCATAGCAGTTTTACTGTGAGTTTAACTTGGTACATAGCAGTTTTACTGTGAGTTTAACTTGGTACATAGCAGTTTTACTGTGAGTTTAACTTGGTACATAGCAGTTTTACTGTGAGTTTAACTTGGTACATAGCAGTTTTACTGTGAGTTTAACTTGGTACATAGCAGTTTTACTGTAAGTTTAACTTGGTACATAGCAGTTTTACTGTGAGTTT